CCCCCTCACGACAGCGGCACGGGCAGGGGGTCACTGCACGGGCCCATCACAGACACGCCCACGGCATCGTGCAAAGCAAGGAGAGCACGTTGCCAGGGGGGCAGGGGGGTCTGTATAGTGTGATCTCATTTTTGTAAAAGGAAAGCCGACAAGTCAACACGTCGGCATGGCCACACAGACTTGCGTGTACATTTAAAAATGGGAAAGACAGACAGGAAACCGTTGGTGGCCGTGACAGCATGAGGAGGGAGGGACTGCTGCTGTTTTATACTTTCAGACGAGGCCTATTCTTTGCAGTGAGCATGTATTTAAATGTACGTTTGCTATACAAATGTAAGTACGTACATGTACTAGTATGTGTTTAAATATATAATGTGTGATTTTGTAGATATTACATAATTTAATAGATGTAGCTTAAATACACATATTAACCCACTGTCCGCCACAAGCGTCTGTAGATGCGAGCGGGGGACCCGCCCCACACGCCACGCGCGTCTATAAAAAAAATGTTTTCCCTACGTGCAGCCCTGACCAACTTTAAAGTCATTTTTCGTGAGAATTTTCAGCTGAACATATTCAAAAACACCCGAATTGTGAGTAATATATTTATTTGTATAGTATTCATTGCAAATTGATTTTTTCTAATTAAATTCAAAATATCATGGCGTGTGGGGATGGTTCCGTTTTGGATGTGTGGTCGTTAACTGGTTAAATAAAAATAAACTTGGGAAAAGCTAACCTATAAACACGAGAACAGGTCACAGGGACGGCGCTGAGCAGGAAAGACCAATGGCACAGGCCTTCACTGCCAAGTATTCAAATGCGATTAGAGCTGCAGTAGGCGACGGTTTGGTGTTAGTGTAAAAACAGGCCCGCCCGGCCGGTGTGGCTCAGTGGTTGAGCGTCGGCCCAGGACCCAGGAGGTCCCAGGTTCAATTCATGGTCAGGAAACATGACCAGGTTTTGGGCTGATCCCCAGTAGGGGGCGTGCAGGAGGCAGCTGGTGGATGATTCTCCTCGCTGTTTCTATCTCTCTCCCTTTCCCTCCCTCTCGTTCTCAAATCAATAAAACATTAAAAACAAAAACGGGCCCATCGCTGGAACAGAATTGGAATTTGAGAAACAGACCCTGAATTTAACATCGGATAAGAGGAGCGTTTTTCAATGGCAGGTAAATGAAATAACTGGCTGGCCCCCCGGGGGGCCTCACCATATACAGGACGAACAGCAGTGGGAACACAGAGTTAGAAATGAGAAGTCAACCATAAAAGAAACGTTAAGGAAATATAGGTCAATATTTACAAACCTCGAGAAGAGGGAGACCTTTGTTAAAAGCCATAAAATTAAAAAAAAAAAATCTGTTAGATTTTACTTCATAAAATTTTAACATCTGCCAATAATAATAGTTTTAAAATAATACTCTTCTCTGGCCTGGCCCGTGTGGCTCAGTTGGTTGGAGCACTGAAAGGTGGTGGGTTCGATTCCCAGCCAGGTTCAATTTCTGGTCAGGGCGCATAGGGGAGGCAAGTGGTCGATGTTTCTCTCACATTGATGTTCCTCTCTCTTTCTCTCTCTCTCTCTCTCTCTCTCTCTCTCTCTCTCCCCCTCTCTCTAAAATCAATCATCATGACCCTGGATGGGGATTAATAGTAATAATAGTAGTAATACCGTTCTGTTGCCTAGGAGGTAATGGGCAGGGTGAGTTTACTGTGTCCATTTAGCAGATGGGGCAGCTGAGGCTCAGAGAGGAGAGGCCCTCAGGGTTTAACCTGTCTATTCTACCGCCTCCTTGGGTGGGTCACATGGGCACACCGAGCCTCAGTTTCCCCTCCTGCCAGAGGAGAGGGCTCTGGGTGACGATCCCAAGTCAGTCTGGGTGCTCCCCAGGCAGACGGAGGCCCCACGCCGGGGGTGGACTCACCATCGAAAGGATGACCACAGCGGGGAAGAAGCCCATGACCACGTAGCACAGCAGCTCCAGGAGCTTGTACCTGCAGGAGGAGAGGCCGCCGTGGGTGCAGCGTCACCCCACCCCCCGCGGCGCTGGCAGAGGGGTGACCTCGGGCAGGCCTCATCCTCTCTCTGAGACTCGGTTCCGCGTCGTTATCAGGCCCGGGGCAGACATGACCATTCGACCCCGCACCTGGGCCCCCGGGCCCAAGCAGCCGCGCTCCAAGGACCCGAGCGGCTGCATCAGCTGATACCCACTGCCGTCTCCTCCTAGTTACTCCGTCGTGTCACTCGGCTGATGGAAGCAAACGGGGCCCCGAGGGCTCAGAGCCGCTGCTCCGTGTCTGCCAGCACAGCCTGGGGACGGCAGGTGGCACGTGACACCCTGCAGTGGCCTCGGAACCCACCGGGAGCTGTGGACCTGTGGCTGTCCACGGGCCTGGACGCTGGGACGCCGGGCAGAGCTGTGCCCTCAAGCCCCCAGGGCATCCTGGGGTGTCCTCCCTCCAGGGGCAGGAAGGAGGCCCTGCTGGAGCCCGGAGGGCCCCTCACCCCCCCGGAGGCCCCCCTCCCCGGCTTACCGCTCATGGAAGAAGAAGACATAGACGGTGCCCACGGAGGCCATGACCCAGACCAGCCAGCGCATGTGGGCGGCCCAGGGGCCCAGCTCCCGGAGGTTCAGCCTGCGGAGACCCGAGGGCACAGTCTGAGGGGCCCCGGCCGGCACTGCATGGCCCTGCAGGGCCCTGTGTGGCTGGCCAGCCCGGGACACTGTCCCCGCAGATCTGTCCGCTGTGGTGAGACATGGACTCTCATGGGACACGTGTGGAGAGACACAGAGAGAAAGTGACACGTGAGCAATCGGGAGACGGAATGAGCCACTTGGCTGTCTCGGCGCGGAGGGGAGGCAGGAGGCCGGCCAGCTGGTGAGAGTGGCGTCCTGATAGCCAAGGTTTGCAGGTTCGTCCCCGATCAGGGCACATACAACCAACAGCCCATAAACAAACAAACAAACAAAACAGAAGAAACAACCAATAAATGCATAGATGAGGAGAACAAACCAGTATTTCTCTCTCCCTCCCTTTCTCTCTCCCTCTCTTCCTGCTTCCTTTTCTCTCTCTTTCTTAAAAAAAGGTCAATCAATCAGTGAACGGTGGGCCTGCTGGGACGGCCACCGGGCAGGATCTGCCAGGCTTTGCCGTGCGCACATGCGTAGCCCGCGGTGCAGCCCCAGGGCCCAGCCGGGACACGCGTGTCGCTCCCACACCGTCCATGCCTTTCTCCCAGAAGGAGAACAAACCAGTATTTCTCTCTCCCCCTCCCTCTCTCCCTCCCTTTCTCTCTCCCTCTCTTTCTGCTTCCTTTTCTCTCTCTTTCTTAAAAAAAGGTCAATCAATCAGTGAACGGTGGGCCTGCTGGGACGGCCACCGGGCAGGATCTGCCAGGCTTTGCCGTGCGCACATGCGTAGCCCGCGGTGCAGCCCCAGGGCCCAGCCGGGACACGCGTGTCGCTCCCACACCGTCCATGCCTTTCTCCCAGGCCAGAGCCTTCGGTCCCCCAACACCACACTCTTCTCTAAGTCAAGGTTGTATCCAGGAGGCTCCTATGTAAGTCCAATCTGTCAAAGATGAAATAAAAGCAAACAAAAACAGGGGCCTTCTGATTGAGGCCGGGATGGGGAGCCAGACGCCCACCCCCAGTGCGGCCCCGGGGCCCTCAGCGCTCACAGAGGACAGCTGGACAGCCAGAGCAAGAGGACAGAAAATCCTCTACACACAGCGCCTGCGCCCGGCCCCTTCCACCACGCACCCCGCTTCCCGCCTGGGCGCTGGTCACCACGGAGCGCCTCGGGCTCGCTCGTCCCCCGTCCAATCAACCCCCAGTTCTGCTGCCTCTTCCTCCTGAGCAGCTCACAAACCTCGCACCCCCCGCACCCCTGCATCATGGCCCTCGCCACAGCTGTGTGTCAGCCCAGGGACCTTCAGCCCTAAGTCCCGGAGGAGTTACGGCCGGTGTACCCTCAGCCACCAGCAGGGGCAGCACAGGGCACTGCTCCATGGTCACCGCATCCCCGGCCACCAGCAGGGGGCAGCACAGGGCACTGCTCCATGGTCACCGCAGGGATAAGGAATGGAAACCCAGGCACCACCCACAAAGGGGCGGAGAGTCGGGATTACTCCAGATCTGTAGCTGAGCACAGAACAGCTTGACACTTCCCGTCCACATCCAAGCAGGCACCTGAGCTGCCTGGCTCCTGACCCGCAGGCGCTGCCTCGGGAGCTCCGGCCAACGAGAAGCCGCCGGTGGACTGAGCCCCTCCCGTGGCCTCCAGCTCTAGCCGCTCTTGGTGCACTCCGTGGCCCCCCGCCTACCCACCCTCGCTGCACTCCTCACCAGGGCCTTCTAGGCTTCTAGAAGTCTCCGTCCGCCTGCCTCCCTGGCGTCTGACAGCCTAAACCCTGCGGGTTTTCAGGAGAGAAGCCCAGGCTGGGCAGGCCTGATGGTGCACCAACAGGCAGGCAGACAGACAGAGGACAGACAGACGGACAGACAGCAGGAACGGCACACCTCCATCAGACGTGTTTAAAAAACAATCGCCTTTGTATGTGCAAACAAAACCTACTTATTAGCTGATGTAATGAGACAGAAGGCCCGGTTTAGAATAGCCAAACAGAGAGCTTCCCGGGGCAAAAATGGAACAAACCTTTCTGCGGCTCCCCCTCCTCCAGGCAGCCCTCCGGCGGCCCCCACGCCAGCCCACTGCCTCCTCTGAGCGCCCATGGCTGAGTGCACACAGGCCCGTCCCACCGGCCACCACTGTCCTGTCTCAGACCCTGGTCCACCTACAGAACCTCAGTGTCCTGACCCCAGCACAGCCCAGCCACGCATGCACGGTCAGCACACGTGAGTAGAAGGTCCACCCCGGCACAGACCCTGCAGGCTCCCCGGGCTCCCACGGGGTGGCCTGACGCTCAGGGCTTCTGCATGCCAGAACTTTCGAACACTGAGTGACGTGCTGGGGGAGTGTAACCGGGCACATCTGGGGAGAGGGCGCTGGCAAACAGGTCACAGATGACCAGGCCCCTCCCTGCCGCCCGGAAGTCTGCGTGAGTCTCGGAATTTATCCCACGAGGATGGGCTGGGCCCCTGAAGCTGCTGTCCGCAGTCACAAGAGGCCGCCTCTGAGCAACCTCATCACATTCAGCCAACAGGTCCGCACACAGGGGCTCCATGATACACAAACAAGGACAATCGCGCTCGGCCGGCGTGGCTCAGGGGTTGAGCATCGATGTGCGACTGTGGACCGACGTCCCAGCGATGCGCTAGGAAAAGGAACGCAAACTGCGGGGCAGTCGGCACAGCCTCCTTCCTGCCGTGTTAAGGTCGGAGAAAAGTGCTGTAAACGTTCGCTTATAAACTCTAAGTGTGCACGTGTGTGTGCGTGTGTATGCACTGTCTGCATGGACAGTCACATAGGCACATGTTTACACGCACTGGCCGTTTCACGCGGGAAATAGCTGGACGCACAGGGAAGTGGGCATGAGAGCGGGGTGAGGGGTGGCCTCCTTGCTCTCTGTGCGTGGTGCCCACCAAACACAGAGCGTGGTGCCCGCCAAACACAGAGCGATTCGAACAAGGACAGGAAGGGAGCCAGCCCGCCCCGCGCGCGCGCGCGCAGGGCCGTGGCTCAGGGGTTGAGCATCGATGTGCGACTGTGGACCGACGTCCCAGCGATGCGCTAGGAGAAGGAACGCAAACTGCGGGGCAGTCGGCACAGCCTCCTTCCTGCCGTGTTAAGGTCGGAGAAAAGTGCTGTAAACGTTCGCTTATAAACTCTAAGTGTGCACGTGTGTGTGCGTGTGTATGCACTGTCTGCATGGACAGTCACATAGGCACATGTTTACACGCACTGGCCGTTTCACGCGGGAAATAGCTGGACGCACAGGGAAGCGGGCACGAGAGCGGGGTGAGGGGCGGCCGCCTCGCTCTCTGTGCTGTCAGCGTGGTGCCCGCCAAACACAGAGCGATTGGAACAAGGACAGGAAGGGAGCCAGCCCGCCCCGCAGGCTTTCAAGCCAGGCTCCCTACCCCTGGGGTTAGCTGGAGCCACCAGGGGTCCCTCCGAGGACCCTCCTCGCCTCCCCTCTGCGTTTCTATCGTACATCCTGGGCTTTCAGGAGATTGCAAGTGAGGAAAGATTTCTGTGCCTAAAATGCAAAGCTATTAAACTCTGCGCCCCGCCCTGGCTGGTTTGGCTCAGTGGATAGAGCGTCAGCCTGTGGACTGAAGGGTCCCGGGGTTGATTCCTGTCCAGGGCACATGCCTGGGCTCGGTCCCCACTAGGGGGCATGCAGGAGGCAGATCAGGGATTCTCTCTCATCATCGATGTTTCTCTCTCTCCCTCCCTTTCTCCCCCTCTGAAGTCAATAAAAATTTATTTAAAAAATAAAATAAACTGTGTGCCTCCTAAAGACCCTCTGGATTCTGGCTTTGTGGTTTCGTGCCCAGGCTCCGGGGCCAGAAGGCCTGGGTTCGAATCCCAGCCCAGCGCTTAGGGACTGTGACCCTGACCAAGTCCCCTCCCTGCTCGGGGCTCAGTCCCCGCCTCTGTAACAGGGGGGGCATCAGCGACCATCGCAGGCGGCTGTGAGCGCTGGGTGGGTGCCTACATGCAGGGCAGGAAGCGCCCAGCAAACAGCTGTTGGCAGCATCCCCGAGGGAACCCCGCCTGCCTCCCTACCCCCGCCCTCGGCCAGGTCCCTGTGCGGTGGGCACCTCCCGTGGGCGGCTCGGTACCTGAGGTGGCGCTTCTTCCAGGAGACCGTGTGGAACACGGTGGACACCACGAAGAGCCCGCACAGGCCCAGGCCGTAGATCCAGGCGGAAACGGTCTCCCAGACGTCGTCCGACAGGAGGTAGAGGTTGGAGCTGCCGAGGAAGCTGGGGATGATCCAGAGCTGGAAGCGGGGGTGCAGGCAGCGCTGGC